GGGTATATATTCGCCACTATTTGAACATTAGGAACCAAGTATGGAGAGTACAATATTCACCATTTCCAATGCGTTTGGAACACATATTTTATTATAATTTGTAAGTGTATTGTAACATAGAAACTTTTGAATGACATCACACGAGACTCCTCGAGAGTACTGTGGCCTCCTGTTACGACGAAATCGATTACAATGAAAATCCGCATATAATGAAATAAAATTAAGGTCAGAACTTATTTCCTTCATATTTTCTGATGCATAAAACAAAATCTGTTATATCAAAAATTCGCTTAGAACGAAATGAAAATCATTCCCCATCGACGAATATGCCCGTGGATATTATGAAATTTGAATTTGTCACATTTCATTTCACCTGTCTAGAATGCAAGTCAACACAGACACTACACGACCGAGACTTCTTTGTTAAAGGAAGCTGAGAGGAAAAAATATAATTTGTTCTAAAATACTGATACATGACACTTGACGCGTGTTTGTAGAATTTTTTAACGTTGCTTCCACAATGATCACAAGGAAAAAAAATTGTTAAAATTATTCATTTTTATAAATTTCAAGCTGTAAAATACTAGTATATAAACCATTTTTTTTTCAAACTATTTGCAATGTTATGGTTTAGAACCTGAATTAGACTATATTACTGAAAATTGTTTACCTGTTGGTTCTTCATCCTTTTAAAGAGTTGAGATCGATCAAAATACATAAATTTAAAAACTACCAGTTGAAAGGGGGTGCTTTTTTGTCTCTACTACGATCGTATGCGGTGTGAACAACAAAAATAAATTGAAACATCGTCTTGGCCATTAACGTGCTTTGTTAATACAATTTTGAATACTGCAAATCAATGATAAATCGACAAGAAGGTTTTATCAACAGAAACTTCAGTCGCTTATATATCTATAGAAAGCGAGTATTGTTTGATATTCCTCCCAAAAATAAAAAATCTATACCAGTTATCCGTTTAAAAATGTCTTCTTAACTTGCAGTTTATAGTCCAATATCCAATTTTTAAAACAACTGGTCACAAAATCCTACACGAAGGACCGCGAGCTTCGATACAATGGAACATGGAATCCTGTGCGTATTTGAATACTATGTGGCTTATATTCACTAATAATACATCGAAATTGCCGTTTATATAAACAAAAATGGAACGTTAACGTTACAATCTTTATTTGCTAAAATCGTAACCTTTCAGAATAATGGCTCAATATAAAGTATGATGCAACTCGATAATGCCATGAGTTATTTACTTTTTTTAAGATGTCAAGGGTTAAAAAAAAATAATTTTAAGGGGGTTTTAAAGGAATATGGTTGGGATTATTTTTTTAAAAACTAGAAACCAAAGCAGAAAATCCTTAATCCTAAATTTAAAAAAAAGATAAATAAATAAAATCCTAAATAAAAAATTCTAAATCAATAGTTCTGAATTTGTTTTCGTAATTATTTCTGACCAAATGTTGAAAATAAACGTTGGGCAGGTGGTTATAGAGACACACAAGAAAAACGTCCAAAATCAGCTTTGCCAATGGCTGCGCAAGATACTTGTAGGCACTAGGCAAGACTGGTCTACCCTAAATGAAATGAAAGACGAGATATGGTGCAAAATGAAGTACGCTGAGGAGATGACGATAAAAGGAAAAGGCTATCGAACTCGGACAGCAGGGTGCATGAACAAGATGATCTGATCCCGAGAGGAAGACACCTAATTACACTATAGCCACAGAAGCTGTTCAGAAAAGAGACCTCAGCACCCTGTAAAAAGAACCCTGGCTGGGAAAAGACCATCAATGACCAAGCCAATGAATGGCGAGTTGGGAACTTCATCACAAAGAACACCAGAAAGAGCGTTTGGTGAATCACTTCACAGAACTTCTTAACCTCCCACCAACTGCAACAATATTAAACATACCACCAACAAATTCTGAACTAGCACTGATCACTGCCCCTCTCACAAATGCTGAGACCATCATGGCTTTGAAGAGACTGAGGAACGGAAATACAGCTGGACCTGATGGAATCCCCAATAAGTCCTCGCGGCAGATATACATGTAGAGTCTTCAGCAGATATGATACTGTTTCTTGGCAGCAGATCTGGTCAGGGGGGAGGTACAAGCCGATTGGTAGATAGGACATCTAGTGAAACTCCCCAATACTTCTTTCTGTTCCGAGCAAGATTCTGACAAGATAAACCCTGGGAAGAATAGAAGAACGACTTCGTCCAGAATTGGCCAGCTTTAGAAAGAACAAGCCCTGTACAGACAAGATCGCCACTCATCGCATAATAATTGAAAGTCGTAAGAGTAGCAGTCAATACTGTTCCTCGACTTTCAGAGGGCCTTTGATAGTGACACAAGAGTCATCTTGAAAATACTGCAGTTCTACGGAATTCCACTCTCCTTCATCAACCTCATAGAACAATTGTAAGACGACGCTACGTGCCAAGCCATCCACAACGGCAAGCTTGCAAAAGCCTTTGAGGTCAGACAGGGGTTAGACAAGGCTGTTTGCTGTCACCTATGATATTTATATTGCTGGTGGAATGGAGAACCACAAGAGTTGGCAAGACAGAAGTCCAGTGTGTACCCTTTGTGTACATTTACGGGTATGTTTCTGGTGATTATTTCAAATGGTATCACATATCCTGGGACACCCTGTATATGAAGTACAGACCTTTGCCCAGTGTTCGGAAGACCTATGTCCCAGAAATATGAGCACAATAGCATAAAAAGTCATGCAGCTCAAGACAGACAGGCTGCTCAAGGAAGCAGCAAAGACAGGTCTTCGGGACAACATTGTAAAGACAGATGTCGTGCGACTCAACAAAAGCATACACCAATCACTATTGGAGAGCATAATCTGAAAGACGTAGACTCTTTACATATTAAGCAGTTCTGTCTAAGTAACTTGTAGAACAGATGAAGACATAAAGGAAAGGACTGGTAAAGAGATAGATCATCAGCATTGTCCACACGCAACAATCTCCCTATCTTCAACAGAAGTAGATGCTCCTTTATAGATCAGAAACATGGAGAGTCATCAACTCTACCTCCAAAAACTACAAACCTCCCCAAATAGATGTCTGCGCCACATTAAGAACATCAGATGGCAAGAAAAGGTAACCAACAAGAACATGAGGCAAGAGCAATTAAACCAAGACCTGATCACTCAGCAAATAGTCCGTGATGAATGGCTGTGGATTGGACATACCCTCAGAAAACAATCGTTAAACATGAGTGGAACCCCGAGGGCAAATGTCGGATCGGGCGTCCCAGGACAACTTGGCAAAGGTCATGTGAAGAGGAAATCAGACATTGTGGAAAGGCTGTCCAAAACAGAGTGTGCTGGAGGACTGTTGCCAAGGCCCTATGTTCCACCCTGAATCAAAAGGAACCATGATAATGGGAGATATAACGTCACATCGCGACTATAGAAAAATCGGTTATTTAGTTCCATGCATGGCTTCAACTTTGTTGTAGTAAGGGTGTGTGTGTTGGGGGGGGGGGGGGATGGACGTTAATGACAATTTCAATTTTCACACAATTGAATGTTTAAAATCCTCGACAACCCATGTACTCTCTCTCTCTCTCTCTCCTTCTTTCGATCGATCGATAAATACATGTAGATACTAGGAGATAGAAAGATGAAGATGAATTATACTTCACAAAACATTCCCATTCAAGTGTTTAAAAAAAATACCTGGAAGAGTCCGATTAATAGACTAAATGCTGTCATGACTCATGAGACAGTAATAACTGCAAGTAAGTTTTGCCACTAAAATCATTCTCCTTTGTGCCTATAAGTAACTTGTGAGAAAGTTATAATAGTTATTCCCTAATTTACATAAATGCTCAGGTAAGCATGTGGCCAATGGGCCTCTCATATTAATTAGTATTTAATGAATAAATTTCAATTTCATACTGTGGAACTAAAGAATGTAATGAAGCTAAAATTTTATTTTTATTAAATCTACACATCTACAGAACCCCACCACTCATATTCCTTAAGATTATTTGGCTAGTGTACTGAGTTTTTGGATCAGAGGGTTTTGTTGAAAAATGCCTTTGTTCACACCCATAGGCTCCCATGTTGAAAGTGAAAATTGTCTAACTTTATTCTACAAGATGATTTGGCTACTGAGTTTAGTGTAAGAGGAGTTCTGGGAACCAGGTTGTTGCAAGAGAATTTTCGACCCCCAATGGTATTGGTCCATATGGTAATAATGAAAACCTTACTGTCATCACAATTCATATTTCAAAAGATGAAATAGCTATTACCAAAATGTAAGAGTTCTTGGAACAAGGTTTTTGTAGGAAAGGTGTTTTTGACCATCATGGTAAAAATGAAAATTTTAAACTGTTCAATACACCACTTAATATATTCCAAAGATGAACTGGCAACTGCTTAAAATGTAATACGAAAAGGGACGGTCTAGGATAACCCAGCCTTTTTTTCTTACAAAGAGCGGATATATTAACAATAGAAAAAGTCAATGAAATCTAAAAATGTATATCGGTCCACTTTATATTAACTGTACTCTCATAGATGAATTTTTTGAAGACTTACAACATATCATGGCAATTATTTAATAAAATAATAAAATTTAATTAATAAATGATGCCATCTTCTGTCAATCTTGGCAGAAATCTATTAGTTTGGCAGGACAAATCCTTTATCAACATTACGAAAGAACACACTATCTCTTTCAGCTTCAAATCTTATAAATAGTATTAATAACCTATATTACCGAAGCATGTACAGCATAGTTAGAGAATGCCTTATAATGCCTTTAGTAGTGCGTGGAATTTGAGATGTTGAGAGCCCCTAACGCAAACTTTTTGGCACAACCCTTTTATAAAAGTGCAAATCCTTAAAGAGAATGCCTCTAAATCATTTAAGCAACCTTCTATAACTGATTTGTTTACACACAAATTTTACAGATGTGCGTGTGTTACACGAGAAGAGGATCGGCATTTCACACTTACATGGGTCTCTGTTTAATGGCGACGAACACAGCTCTCCCAACTGCAACTCAGTTAATCCTGCATTTTTTACGTGTTACTAATTCTCTCCAGTAAGCAAGCATTACCAATGCACAAAATGTCTAGAACAGAATATTCCAAGCAAGTTTTAAATATAGAAAAAAAACAACTGCACGTCCGGAATATAGGGAAAAGAATATACAAGGGAAATAAGATACGTTTCCTCCATACAATATCTGGTTCGCAGATTTAACATTCATATACACTATCTGTAAATACTTTACTTACCAGTACGCTTTTTACATCCTTTCTCTTCAACAACCCCCACTTGACACAAGAGTGTTTTGTTGTTTTGGGTTTTGCCTGCTTTCGTGGCAATAGCAGTTTGCTAAATATATATACATTGCATAACATATACTAGCATTGCTGGGCACACGGCTTTTTGCTTAACACTACAAACTTCAATGACAAAAAAATAGAACAGAAATATTTAAATAAGTTAGATTTAGTAACAGAAAGTCGACAACACCTCAGGGGCATTTAAAGTCCTCCTATTTCGCTTGTTTCAGGTTTTTTTTTTTCTTATTTTGTAAAGCTTGAATGCATGTCCTCACTTCTAATCAAATTCTTTGTTCATCATATTTTGTCAGTGGTTTTATGTCTCTCCTAGCAATGGCTCTGCTGAATGGGGGCAATAATATATGGTTTGATTCGTTCTACGTTGTTGATGCACAATGAAGAGCAGAAGAACGCAGCTTTGATGACTGAAAGGTAAACCGCACATTCATCGGGTTTTATAATTATGCTCAAAATCTCTTTACATAAAAGGAATAATATATCTACTTTTTCCCCCGACAGGAAACTTTCTCAGTATATGCAACAGGATCTTGTAAAACTTGATGCACTGTTCAATATATCATTTACATTAAATTAAAAAAAAATCTACAAGAATAAAGACACTCATTATTCTTTAATTATTTTTCCTTGTCATCTTTAAAAGAAGAAATTCCCCCTTTCTATGGGAAGAGGGGCGGGGAAGGGGACCTCAAATATTGAAATGGACGAGAGACCACGGTTCATTAAAAATTATGTTAATTAACAGTATTTACGATTTCAGTATACATGGTAGCAAAATCTATCATGAACAAGTTGACAACTCTATAAATTAAATCAGTTTCGATGATTCCTGAAAAAAAGTAAAACAAAGTGACCACACTCTGAGTGGAGTTGTCAGCGTTCTTCTTAATGTTTAATAAATGAAAATACACTGTATATATATTTTGAGAGAAAACTAAATCAAAATAATTTTTTTTTATCCTTATACTGCAATATATGCAAACAACTTGACTGGGTTAGATTGGGAATATGAATTAACTGTAACAGAGAGATAGGGAGATAGACAACTGTGAAATTTCAAAAGTTTCAAAAGAAAATTTTACGTAGCATATACGTGAATATAATAGCAAAGACTTACATGTATTATATGGCTTACATTAAAAGGGACTTTAGAATGAGATTTTCATAATATGAACTTTCTGTTATTCTGCATTTCCATTATTTGTATTTCTCTTCATGTAATTAAGGGGGTGAAGGGACTAACAGGTTGTATATGCATGCACTAGTGTGTATCAATAAGCAAGATTCTTTCCAGAATTTGATTTCAAACTTAAGACATGTATTGACCTCAAAAAGTCTGTATGGTTGCAATAGGACGGGCATATTTTTATAAAGTGTGCGAATCCTTTTTATTGATTTATTTCTCAATGAACCAAATAATTTATAGTCAGTCCTATATTAGTTTCCCCCCTTATTCTCAGTCGTACATCAAATCATCATCTACCTGTGAAAACAGATTTACAAATCAATGTTCACTTTGTAACAATGAAAAAAAAAGTGATGAATATCACATTTCAAAATGTTGAGCTTTTTCAGAAGAAAGCAAATTCAAAGAATTGTGGTCCCCCACTTCCGGAGTCTTAGTGTTGGGATGCAATTATTTTTATTATACTTTCATGTTAAATACTAATATCTGATTGGTTTACACGCATTTAACAATATATAAATAGTGCACGTTTTTGAGGGTAACAGTTGAAATTGACACCCAAGGAAAACCATTGTCAACCGACGCGTCAGCGGAGGTTGACAATGGTTTTCCGAGGGGTGTCAATTTCAACTGTTACCCTCAAAAACGTGCACTATTTATTTTATTATACTGAATGTCTTATTGATTTCGGATGTCAAAAGAAAAATTCGGAGATCGTTAAGTTCACGCTTAGAAAGCTTTCAGACTCCCCGCTTCTATTTTTCTCAATAAGAAAGCTTCGGAAAAGATTTACCAACCTTTTTATTGTTTGTTTGCTACTCAAAAAGTCCTTTATCGTCTAAAGTTTGCATTCGCAAGGATGTTTCGTCTGTCGTTTGTTGTTTTCAAGTAAGCTACATCGGACGCAAGCTTTTATTGACGTCGTTTATTCGGCTTCTTTCAAACGCACAACTGACGCTTTGAGAATTCTACGGTGAACCGTACGCGCATGATTTGAACGCATGTGATATTTTCGTAATGTTACCCGTTGTTAAGTGTGTTGCTAACGCTGAGGGTAACATTACGGATTATTATACTTTCATGTTAAATACTAATATCTGATTGGTTTACACGCATTTAACAATCCGTATTATTATACTTTCATGTTAAATACTAAAATCTGATTGGTTTAGACGCATTTAACAATCCGTAATGTTACCCTCAGCGTTAGCAACACACTTGACAACGGGTAACATTACGAAAATATCACATGCGTTCAAATCATGCGCGTACGGTTCACCGTAGAATTGTTAAAGCGTCGGTTGTGCGTTTGAAAGAAGCCGAATAAACGACGTCAATAAAAGCTTGCATCCGATGTAGCTTACTTGAAAACAACAAACGACAGACGAAACATCCCTGCGAGTGCAAACTTTAGATGACAAAGGACTTTTTGATAGCAAACAAACAATAAAGAGGTTGGTTAATCTTTTCCGAAGCTTTCTTATTGAGAAAAATAGAAGCGGGGAGTTTGAAAGCTTTCTAAGCGTGAACTTAACGACGATCTCCGAATTTTTCTTTTGACACCCGAAATCAATAAGACATTCAGTATAATAAAATAAATAGTGCACGTTTTTGAGGGTAACAGTTGAAATTGACACCCCTCGGAAAACCATTGTCAACCTCCGCTGACGCGTCGGTTGACAATGGTTTTCCTTGGGGTGTCAATTTCAACTGTTACCCTCAAAAACGTGCACTATTTATATAATGTTACCCTCAGCGTTAGCAACACACTTAACAACGGGTAACATTACGAAAATATCACATGCGTTCAAATCATGCGCGTACGGTTCACCGTAGAATTCTCAAAGCGTCAGTTGTGCGTTTGAAAGAAGCCGAATAAACGACGTCAATAAAAGCTTGCGTCCGATGTAGCTTACTTGAAAACAACAAACGACAGACGAAACATCCTTGCGAATGCAAACTTTAGACGATAAAGGACTTTTTGAGTAGCAAACAAACAATAAAAAGGTTGGTTAATCTTTTCCGAAGCTTTCTTATTGAGAAAAATAGAAGCGGGGAGTCTGAAAGCTTTCTAAGCGTGAACTCAACGATCTCCGAATTTTTCTTTTGACATCCGAAATCAATAAGACATTCAGTATAATAAAATAAATAGTGCACGTTTTTGAGGGTAACAGTTGAAATTGACACCCCTCGGAAAACCATTGTCAACCTCCGCTGACGCGTCGGTTGACAATGGTTTTCCTTGGGTGTCAATTTCAACTGTTACCCTCAAAAACGTGCACTATTTATATAATAGCATATATATTTTAATGCAAATGTCAAATATAAATGTCCCATCTTCTCTCATTCAAAAGTTATCAGTGATATTATTTTTTTTTTTTTTTGAAAAGTTAGGTCATACTTCAAGATCAAGGTCATGGGGTTAAAAATCATAGTATCATTTGGATCCATATGTCTTGTTACAAGTAATACGCATGTCAGTTATAAATGGCCTTATCTTCTCTCCTTCAAAAGTTATCAGCAATGATATTTTTTTTTAAATAAGGTCAACTTGAACGGTCAAGGTCACTGTGTCAAATATCATAGCACATTTGGAAACGTCTTTTCATCGGTAATGCACTTGTCAAATATAAACGCCCTATCCTATCTCATTCAAAAGTTATCACCAATGTTAATTTTTTTGAAAATTAGGTCAAACTTGAAGGTCAAGGTAACGGGGTCAAAATTCATAATATATTTGGAAAGGTTTTGTCACAGGCAATGTACGTGTGAAATATTAAAGCCCTTATCTCTTCTCATTCAAAGGTTATGACCAAGGTAAAAGTCATGCTAATATTTCTAAAAATTATGTAGATAATGAACAATATTCAAGCTCAAAGTCCATTAAGACAATACAGATTTCAAGCAGAGTAAACACGGACCTCCAAATTCCAAAAACATCACAGGTGGGATCATGTGCCATGGAGGAGTGAGCCGACCGGTCTCATCCGCCGTGTGCTCCTTGTCATAATCGGGAATAAAGTGCCCCGCCACAGCATGATACGCCCGTCAAATATTGTTCAATTATCACGAACAGTTTAGAGTGCAAGAAAATCAAGTCAACCTTGATACAATGATTTCCAAGATTTTTCCATTTCTTATAATTTTTGTTTATACATTTCATGTGGTGTAGGCATTATAACAAATATTACATTATAGATCCTCAACTGGTAGTGTTAGAGCTTGACAAATGCCCAACTGCAGCCCCCCCCCCCCCACACACACACACACTGTGACACACACACACACACACACATCTTTCATATTTGTGAGACATGATGCTCTGAAATTTACTAGTTGATATTTTCAAAAAAATTAAATAAAAATATCATATTAAACAATATCAATTTAGTCTTAACAACTTATTCCTATACCAATTTAATTTTAAAATAAAAGACTGGCCATCAAATGACATATGCTATAAACTGACCAGCAGTTCTGTCTAATTCCCAAAGGATACAGATAAGAACTGCTTGATCAGAGATGCTCTAACAGAAATGATTGAGACAGCTAGCCTTCCTACACTGAACTCGTTAATTAATCTTTAACTAGATGCATG